CTTTTTCCTTCTTTTTTTTCTTTTTTTTTTTTTCTCTCTTTCTTTTTCTCTTCTTTTTTTCTTTCTTTTCCCTTCATACTCCTTTTCCCTTCTTTCTTTTCCTTATTCTTTTATTCTTTTCTTCTTTTTCTCTTTCCTCCTCTTCTCCCCCTCCCCTTCATTTTCCTTCCTTCTTTCCTTTTCCCCCTTCCCCTTCTTTCTCCCCTTTTTTCCTCTTTCCTTTCCCCCTTTCCCCCCTCTTCTCCTTTCCCTTCCCTCTCTTCTCTCTCTTCTCTCTTACTTCTTCCCCTCTTCTTTTTCCCCTTTTCCCCCTCTCTCTCCCGTTCTCTTTCTCTTTCTCCCTTTCCTTTCCTCTCTTCTTTCCTTTCTGTTCTCTTTCTCCGTCACTTTTTTCTCTCCCTTTCCTTTCTTTTTAGAAAGAAAGAAAGAAAGAAAGAAAGAAAGAAAGAAAGAAAGAAAGAAAGAAAGAAAGAAAGACAGAAAGAAAGAAAGAAAGAAAGAAAGAAAGAAAGAAAGAAAGAAAGAAAGAAAGAAAGAAAGAAAAAAAAAAGAAAAAAAGAAAGAAAGAAAGAAAAAAAGAAAGAAAGAAAGAAAGAAAGAAAGAAAGAAAGAAAGAAAGAAAGAAAGAAAGAAAGAAAGAAAGAAAGAAAGAAAGAAAGAAAGAAAGAAAGAAAGAAAGAAAGAAAGAAAGAAAGATAGAAAGAAGTCTGAGAATATGAGCAATAAAAAAAGAAAGAAAGGAGAATGGCAAGGACCTCTGTTAAATTGTCAAAAGATATGGATATAAGTTAAAAGATATAAAATGTTCCTTGTAAATAGGGAAAAATTGGAAAACAAGTGAATTCTCACATTAAATGAAATAGGCAATTGTTTAGCAGTATTCATGTCAATAGATACCAGAATTAACAATAGATGATAAGGGATTTTTTATCTGACTGTTCAAAAAACATTTCCTGTCCAATTGTTAGTTGTCGATGATGCGTTTTAGGTAATTTTTTTCAGTTTCCAAAGATAGGTGGTACAAAACAAATTACAGTCTTTGCAAAATCTTGTTAGTTTCTTTATCTTTTTTGGACCATTTCAGGTTTAAAATTTTGATATTAATCCTGGCAACATTGAATAGAAAAAATTATATCTGCCAGGCTTGCCCTACTCACTATGATATAACCCACTAAAAGAGTATTTTAACAGTTGATCAAACTAGGCTCGAAACTTAAAGTTGCAACTTAGAATGTTTATATTCTATTCACCAAACCGCAAAAATTATCATAAACTTTATCACCCTTTGCAAAATCTGTTAAGTTTTTATGGTATTTGAATGTACTAGATCCTGACCTTATCAGTGAAAAATGTATCCTAAATTTTTACTATTTTAGGCTCCACCACAAGCACCAAGACCAGGGTCAGCTGATTTTTTGAAAGCACACTCAAAGTCTGGACCAATTGTTAAGGACAAGAGGCCTTCAACTGCTGCTCCAGTTGTACCAAAAGTTGAGAAATTATCAATACCCAGAGCGTCAAGTGCTAGACAGGTAGAATTTTGTCTCTACATTTGTACCAGAATTCTATCATGAATCTTCTTTAAAAAATCTCCTTTTAGAGAAATCCTTAGAAGAAAAACTAAGTAACAGGAGACTCACTGAAACTGTGAATAAATCACTTGCATTACAAAGTTTGAAGCACAACTATACTTCGTATTGTTTGTGTCATTTAGTGGGTCCTTTGAAGCTGAGAGATTTATCTTTTATGAATAAAATTAGAAATACCTTTGCTGTTTTACCTTTTAGCTAACTACCGTTAAGAATTTTTACCTTCGAAATACTGACCAGCTTCAAAATCAATGAAAATTCTAAGTGGCAATGTTAATTGTAAAAAAAATACTTTCAAATATTTTAAAAGTCACATTTTCCAACGTTACCTGGGTAACCATCCAGGATCACTGTAGTATCTGAAGTAGTATCTGAAATGCTTGCTTTTTCTTAAGCGAATTATTATGAAAGTCAAGGCCATGCAAAAGCTACTATTTACATTAGGTCTGAGAGATATCATCTATGAAAAAATAAAGATTTATGGTGGCTTTCATTTGATTGCTATTATGCAAAATGCTACTTTTTTCATTACCCTTTATCATACTTTTGCTTTTGTTTTGCAATAAAGCTTAGAAAAACTACTGACATTAAATATCTGACGAAAGTTGGACAAAAGCGTTTTTCCTTTCGTTGAAAACTAAAGAATACAAAGTATCAATTTGAAAAATACAAATAATGCTAGAGCAAAATGAAAAATAATGAAACGGTTGTATGTAAATTGAAATGTTTATTTTTGCTTAGCTTTCATCAAATTCTGTAATTCGTTGCGAGAAGCCTAATTTTTAGAAAAAAACATTAGATCGAAGAATTAATAAAACGTCTGCCTGGTTTCCTTCTCGGTTTGCAAGACAGAGTCATATGTTTGCAAAGCTCTTTGTCTGCTGTAAAATCGCTTCTGTTTGCAAACTTAAATGTTATACAAGGCATTTAAAAACGGAAATTAATTTCACGGACAGACGGTTTGATTCAATTGTGTTTGAAAATTTGAAGGGAGAAGCAAGTTTTGCTGGAGAGGTGCTTTCACGTTCAGAATTTTTTTACTATCTTTAGACAAATCTTTTTGCTGTTTTTCGCGTTGTTCCAAGTTGATTTGTCCCAAGAGGTCCAAGTCAACATGTCGCAATTCTATCAAAAGCAAATTGAAAGACCTTCAAATCTGATAAGAACGATAATATTGAGATGTTTTGAAAGAAAACCAATAACCTACAATGCGTCCTGGCTCATTTCTTTATAAGAGATTAGGGGCAATTAATAACCACCCAAAATGTTTGCCTGATAATTATTTGGTTGACCAAGACGATGTCTACTGTCCACAATTTAACGGCGTTACAGATAATCGCATTCAAGATGTCATTTTTGTGTTTACTTCAGATTGAATGGCAAAAACATTTACTTTAGGTTAGGTTAACAAAGATGATGTTTCTTTAGTCTTTTCCGTTTAGCATGTGGTCGATTTTCAACCAGTAAAAGTTTCCCCATTATCAAACTTAAATACTTTTTGTTTAAAATGCAGTATAGCCAATCGATTTGCTATTTAATATAAGCATAACATGCTGAGTACCCCTTTCTCATTTCACCTGATAGGCCTATGTTTCCAGTCCCATTGTCAGGGTTTCTTGAAACAGGTATTTTCCCCAGCAAATAGGCACACGGGTTTTTCAGGAGTGGGAATACTATTAGATCATGATTTATACGTTGTATTTGTGCCTTTTAAATCATGACAGGTTATGAGGGATAGCTGATTAACTGAAATCAAACATTGACATGCCTATTATAACTTGTTTTATTGAATCCCATTATCTGTGTGCCGACGTAATTGATGTATCACTAACAGTATAATGCTCCTTTTTGTTCTGTCAGAAATATGCCAACAAGCTTTATGTTTCCATTAATTGGTTGTGTTCCCGCAAAAGATAAATCTCCTACATGCTGCAAAGCTCCTATTGTAAAAAGTTATTAAGTTGACGTTTAAATAACCTTGAGTTGAAATCATATCTCAGTTACCTCGTGCTCACGCGCTGTCGTCCTGATATGCATCCAGCATTATGTGATTCTAGTGTTCTAACACGCTTTCATTGTCTTTAATTAATATTCTTAAAATCTTAATTATTTATCTATGCTTTATTATCAGTTTATTTCTGGCACTTACAGTTGTATCTGCGCGTGTTTCAGGTGAAGATAGAGACCAGACCAGTCAACCACATCTCACAAAATGTAAAGAGGGCAAAGTCAATCAATATTAAACGTGCCCCTTCTTTGACGGCATTAGATGATTTGAAAAAGAAACAAGAACAGCAGCTACATGAATACAAACGTGGCAGTGTCCCCAAATAGTATGTAGCATAGTATTCCACCCTACGATTGATTTCCTAAAGGTACTGGGAATAGGTTTATCATGAAGGTGTCAGTGCACCTTCATATGTACCAAGGTAGTATGGGTGTCTTTTGTGGTTCTTCCTTCCTATAAAGTGATGATCCTATGTGTTGTAACTAATTTGCCCGTAAATAATGGAAGCATCTAATAAAGAAAAATTGAAAGAGGGGGTGGTTTTTAATTCAGCTGGAGATAAATAAGAGGGGTCTATCAAATGTTTCACTGTTTGGTTAAATAAGGGCCTATTTTCTTGAAACTCCTTTGTACTGCATTTTTGGCAGGTTATCCAATTCACTGCCGAGTGAGGTCGACCATAATGCTACAATAATTGTGTGATATGGTTGAGTGTAGAGTTTCCTTTTTTGGAACTACATCGGGTATTTTTTATCTTTGGAACTTAGCTTTTCGCCATGAATCAGGATCATCGTAAGAGAAAAATTTCATTAATGATTCCGAAATCTCAAGCAGTTGAAATTCCAAATAGTATACAATTCTGGATGCTTGAAAGTTCTCTACAAAGATTTTGAAATTAACAAAGGTTGTTCTGTGTTCTTGACTGTGGCAGATTGAGAAAATGACCTGTTCAATGATTTTCTCTTCCTATTCAACTCCACCCCTTCTCGCCAAGACAAGGCTCTAACTAAACAAGGCCCACCAGACGAGATGAAAACTGGGCTATAATACTTAATACTTCCCACAGTTAAGGCTTTTATGTGATCATTCTAAACTACTGAAAGTATTATAAAAAGGTGTGAACTAAATTTTTCTCTCTTTTATAGTTTGAAGAACAGACAAGAAGAGTGGAAGAAAGAAGAAGAAACTCGCAAAGCAAACATCCCGGACCCAAGTATCCCAGCAGGCCATTCACTAATGCCGGAATCGGAGAGAAGAAAAACGCTCGATATGCTGAACAAATGTAGGTTTTAATTATTACGTTTATTTGTACAAGAGGGTGTATCATATATTCTCTTAATCGTCACATATTTCTTGAATAGTCACTCATATTTTGACAGTTTTTAATATATACTAACAGGCTGTTGTATTTTGTAGATGTTTTCGGTGTCATAGAAAGAAATTAATAATCTTTGCCAATTTTATATAAATTTATCGGGCTTTGAGTATGAAAACGCTATGATGGGTTTTGTTTTGAAGAAACTTGGGCTTTGTTCTGAAGAAACTGGAACAATTTTTGCCTTAAGATACCTAGACATACCTAGACATACAAACAAAAAACATACCTAGAAAATATAGAGACTTTGCGTACATGCCCAAAAACTTATTTCAGTCATTACATGTACATAGTTTTGATAGCTGAAATCAATTGAATTTTTTTTCTTACCTACTAAGCTAAAATTGGAATTATTCAATTGATCGTTTCTTTTGCCAATTTCAAATTCTTCCATTGCCAAGTTATCATTTTCTTAAGAAAATCATCACTAAAACTAGAATTAAAGTAATATTTTTTTATTTATGTACAAGATGTATCTTTTAATTACCCATACCTTGTAAAGCAATTTGCTAATAGTGTGTATTGGTGAATGTCTCCTGGATGACAAATCCAGTTAAAATAGCAGTATTGTCGAAAATGTGAGATACTACCCCTACAAAGTTTAGCTGATAAATGATGTCAGATATAGATTCTGCAGAGCTTGTTTCGTTTTCGAAAAGGTTGTTCTACACATTTCTTCCAATTACTTATTTGCAAAATGTGCCTGTACAGTTTTATGAATGGTTAGAATTGATAGGTACAATACCATACTAGATATTTCTTTTCAGCACCCTATTAGATAGCTGATACTCGATGACATTCAATTTATCAATTATTACTACTGACATATACTCCTGAAAAGTGGTTTTAAAATCAAGAAAACCAATCGAGCCCCAACTGCTTCAAAATACAAAAAGGAACTTTCATGTTTTCACAATGTTTTCCTTTTTGTCTTAGCACGGTCCATCTTCATTCGTTTTCTTTAAAAGAGCCATCAATGGTAGAATAACTGTAAAAAATAAATCCTTTTCTTCAAAATGGATTGCACCTTTATATTAACCAATTTACTCTCTTCACAGCGCAAGGAGACATGCTAAGAGAACTGCAATCTCTGCCCGTCAGCAAAGATACTTTACGCGTCAAACAACGGAAAGAATACCTGGAGAAGAAGCTCCAAGAAATCGAAACTGCTATTAAGATATTTTCAAGACCAAAGGTATTTGTCAAAGACGAGTAGAATTGCCATCGTTGTACATAGCCAATTGATACTGCCTCATTGTCTCGTCAAGATATAGCACTTCTGCCCTTGTGAATGCTTTCGTGCTTTTCAATGAAGATTGTAACATACTCAGATTGAAACTCTGTATAGTCAGATTGTTCGTGTAAGCTACTATTATTTCAAAAATTGTTAGAACACCTACAGGGAACATTCACAGTTTCACGTCGTTGTTTCCTCTTCCACCAATGTTGCTGAATTTCATAGATATACGTTTGTGGTGAGAACAGCTCAGCATCGGACGCATAAATGCGTTAATGAAGTCATTAAAACTGTACATGGGAACGGAGAGAAGAATTTAGCTGCAGCAATGAAAACTTGAAGGAGTAGTTAAACCCAGGGGTTTGCAACATTTAAACTTGAATCTATGGTGTTCCAACTGTGTTTGGCGAAGATCTTAGCTTTATTTTTAGCCTTTTCCCATACTTGTGTAAATATAGGAAGGACGTATTCTTATTGCAACTGTTATCGTAGATGAAGTAACACAGCATACATTCACCTGATTAAAACCTTTGCCAATAAATTCTTTCTGCTTTTGTTTTTGTCATTATCATTACCTTTTTCATTAGAGACCAGTATATTGTATAACGTTTTCAAGCCCTCTACTCAAAGAGCCAAGGTCAAAGAACTTTTTAAACCCTCCCCTTAGAGTTTGCATCGAGGTCCAATAATTTATTTTTGTGTTCCTCTAGCAGCGTTTGCCTTGACCCACAGCATTGAAATATATATTCCCCCTCAAGAGTTTCTTCTATCACCTCGTTTCATGGTGAGCTATGTACTCGTGTCTGGTCCACGTTTCGATACTGGTCTTGTTCTTTTCTAGTCTGCTAATAGCCAGAACTCAAATAGCTGAAATTTAACTCATTAGCGGTTGTGATGCATGACCTTCAATCATGTCAGATAATTTCAGATCTTTACTGTCAGTTTCGCTTGCTTAGGAGCTCTGACTAAGCTGAGGTTTTAGGTTCATTGTTTGAAGTTCGCAAGTCGTTTTACTAACGCAAAATGCAACAGATTGAATTAATGATAATTTATTCTTTGGAGTCATGTTAGCACGTGGTCTGGTGGATGAAGCTAGTGTCTCTGATGATCAAGGTCCTTACTGGTTCTATTAAGTTTTATGTAACACCAATGTCATGCCGGGCTGAAATTCTAGGTTATCAGTTCACCTCGAGATACTAGATATCAAGTAACACTGCACGTGTCTTCAGACATACCATTAATTGAGAAATAATTACAAGAAACTAAACAGACAAAAGGTCTTGTATCCATTTCAATGCTTTTGAATTTCTTCACGCTTATTTTTCCACCTGCTGGTATTACTCAAACCATTTTGTTCCAGTTATTTGCTTCTCATTTCTAGCAATTTCTTTTGCACTTGGGCGGATAATTGCAGAACAAAGTTTTTTTAATAAAAGCTTTTTTTCACAATTCAAACAACCTTGTCTAGTTTGAAAACATTTCAAATATTTAGTGTTAGGCCTACTTGTTTCGAGTGACCATCTTCTGTTGAAGAAATTAACATTCTCCATAACCTCATCTTCTTTTAATTTGTCAATGTCTGTTTATTTGTGAAATTTGTTAGCCCTTTCCCGGTATCCAATTCAACTTTATTGGACCTAACTAACGTCCTTATGAACTTTCAAAACGTTATTGTCATCAATAATTCCATTTCACACAGACATTGCTTCGAGTTTTTTTTAAACAATCCGTTCGTGTGACTGTTATAAATTTGTAATTGAAGATTGAATAAAATTGCCAACACTGAAATTACAAAAAGGAAAGTCTCCCAAACTTAGCCTTGGATATCGTTGGATTTCTGAATTAAGTTGAATTTGATATTCTAGTATTAGTTTGACCCGTTCCTTGCTGAGTTGTGAGCTATTTTCATGCCGAATTCAGAGACCTTTGATATGCAATTAATTAAAGTATTATTTCATAACAGACGTCACTGCATAAGGGTCCACGATATCTATGACCAAGGTGCCTGGCTGCCTCTTTGATACCTAGAGTATGTGAAAGTTCTTTAAAAGTTAGGGCGCCCAACTGATTCTATCTCCAGGAATTGAAAATATATGCCATTGATGCAAAATTCATTGCCCTTTCGATAAATCGAACGGAGTTGACAGGTTTGTCTTTTGAAAATCGAATTCAACAATGTCATCACGGCAATCTCATCACAGATTTTAGTGAAGTTGTAAAATCTGCCCTTGTAAACGCGGTTTAACGCAGTAATCAATTTTTGTCAGACAATTGGCATTTGGGTTTAGTAACACTTACAGAAAATGTATCACTTGAATTTGAAATCACTCTTTTGAGATGATAAACTTTTTTCATTTTCGCGGTAATAATGCTCTCAAAACCTTCGATGAAGAGGCATTAACCCTTGTAAAATCTGAAATCTTGTAAAACCACGAAAAGAATCTGAAATCAATTAGGCCGTCGCGCTGTGTCCTGAACGAATAACGGCATCGCAAAAACAAGATTAAAAGGCAATTTCTATTCTACGTTTTCCGCAATACACTATTTTTGTCCATGGAATGCCGACATCGAGGACTCAACACATGTCCTTTGAGAGTAAAAAATGGGAAATCTTCTGTGATTTTGAAAACAGTTTCAAGAATGCTTTTGATCGATATGAGACCGAATGCTTTCGGAAAGCTTCCCAAAGCGATTGTCGTTCGAAGAATGGCCAGTATGAACAATGAAATCGTTAGTCCTTTCCATTTTTCAATGAGAAAACTTCAGCTGTTTTGACTGGCGCGTAATTAACAATTTCTATGTTTTATTTGCTTCCACCGGATCATATATGCCCTTTATTTAGTTCCTAGAAGCGCTTCTTTGATTTACAGGGGGTCATCTCATAGCAAGAATTGGTTTCTTTTCCCATCATTTGTTATGAGTCACTCGGCTAAAAGCTCCCCCTGGATGTAAAATTTCCTGAGGCAAGCAGTTCTTGTCAGCGTGTTTTGATTAAGCCTTTCAAGTAAAAACATCTTTTTTAAAAATTCACTTGAAAATGTGGTCGGAATCTATGTAAATGGTCATGATATTAGTAACTCAGATTATTCTATTCTTCACGCTTAAAGTTTCAACTTGATTCATTCTGATCGCGCGACTTGGCGAAAGCGAATGAACAATTCAGCGAATCAGCGAACTGAGTTGTATTTTCTGGTCGCGCATTCGCAGCGAGTGAGAAAGTTCAATTGCGCACGCTCCAATGTGCATTCGCTCAGTCACGCAACCAGAGAGAATCAAGTAGAAAACCGGCCTTATACGGACCAATTTCGAGATAGCTCAAGCTGAGTTAACCTACCTCGTGAAATTAAGCTCTCATTGACAAAGGCGTATGTCTTCTTAGCTGTAAAGCCTTGGGTCTTATCCAATGCTAACTTCTTGCTATCATCCAATGTATCTGAACGCAGTCTGGATCTCACCAGACGAAACAACTACTCCAGCCCAGTAAGCATCGTCTGGAACATTTTCAAGAGATAAACATACAATCTCTTGGCATTTGATTTGGTATAAGATCATCAATGTGCAAGGCATGTTCTGAGTATGCATTCGCATTGCTATCTTCATGAGATAAATCAAGTCACTTAGATGTATTCAGGCAATTCACACCACCTATGTGAATTGCATTCTCTCATTGATAAGATGCTCTTGAGTGAAGTGATAAACCAAGGACTAATCAATATATGCTCTAAAGGAAACGGGACATCTCTTTGCGATCGCCAAATTCGCATTAATACCAACGAAATGTCTTGGAGCCCTGTTCTCTAGAATCTAAATTCATTCAAAACCTTTCGATTAATTAATGATTTTATCATCAAAAGCATCAGCTTAATTTTATGTTATTTAGTCATTAAACCATCTGTCATGGATTGCCTGTTCGATCTTTCTATGATTCCATTGCGAAATTATTTCGATTATCTAGTTGCCATGCTTAGAATGGGGGTATGAAGTATTTATCAAGAACTGCAGGCTCCGAAGATATAAAAAAAGTTTGCAAGTGCTGTCTTGAATTGTTAGAAACGTTCTGAACTTAATTGTTTATCTCCATAAACCTTAAACTAAAGATTATATACGGAGAAAGGCACTTTGGGCAAATCACTTGATATAACCAGTCCCTAATGTGTACAGAGTTTGATTTGGTGCTATATTGGTTTAACGGTGTTGATTGGATCGAACTGACCCGAACTTAATGCTTTGAAATGCCTATCGCTTTCAGATTTCATAGTGTTATCAAATTTCCTCTTGTACCTGAGGCGTGTGACTATCTTTCATTTTTAGCTATGGAGCTAAATATGGATCTTTAACTTTAAAAGCCCTAAGAAACTGTAATGATTCAAGTTCTGCTTAGTTCTTTTTAAGAAAAAAATGCAAACATAATCGACTAGAAACGTTAAAGAGCTCCTAATGTCTGCAATTCGTGGCAGTCATGACATTTGGGTGTTTGGTGTTTGTTCCTTTCAGTCACGCCTCATTTTCTTACGTTTGGAAACAGAGCTTACTGCGACTGGCAAGAAAGCTTTCCTGTAAATAAGCAGAAAATATGTCATTCGTGTCCCAATTCACCTCCCGCACGAAATGAATTGGACGGCACGTGGCTCGGGATTAAAAGAGCAAGACCTTTGTTTCGGAAGGCGCTCAAGAGTCTCGCCGAAAGACGGAAAATTAGCGGCACTATTTACAACGATGATTGACGACTTAAGCACAGGGGTTGTGGTTGGTGGTCACAAAACCTGAAATCTCGCATAACAAAACAGGCGAAGAGTTGTGTAATCAGCAAGATTCACTGAACACTCTTTGGATATTTACGATACACGATTTTTAAGATAAATATTACTTTGTTGTTTTGACTTTTCTTTGGATAAATTTGTGAAAGATTTTTAAGAGTCTTTGGTCTTTTCTAAGAGAGGATTTATCATGCTATAAAGGGATATGCAAAAGTTTTCGATTTTAGGAAAGTTGGAGTCAAATGAATAGTTGGAACTTGGTATTCATATTGAAATAAGCTCGCGAATCGAGCTTTTAAATCAAGCATTCGTCCTGCTTATATCGAAATTAATTTTTTTCGACAATTATAGCAGGTTACGTTACACTCTTTGTTAATAAGAACAGTTTTTTAAGAACACGAGCCTCAAAATTGGTCAAAGGTTCAGAAAAAATTAAGAACAAGCTGAGGCTGAGCTAATGTAACATGTAATTTTGAGCAATGCTTCGACTCAAAAACAAAGAGCTTTTTGCCACCTAGGGGTGCTTTTAAGGTGAATTTTCAAACTCGTAAGCAAATAAAGGATATCTCACTCAATTTTTTGGCAAACGAGGCCTGAACACCTCCCTAGAACGCAATAGGTAGCAATTGCACTGTTTACACCTTAATACGTTAAGAACAAATTTAGAACAATCTAGCTTCAGATTTTCGTAAAAATTTAGAAAGGCCAGCCTGAACTTCAATTTATCGGTTCTTATACAAAAAGCGTGTACTGCTGATCGGCTTCTGGTGTATTTGTGACGTATAAGCCTTAGAATACAGTTCTCTTTTTGAATACGTTCACGTTGTTTTATACAAAAAGTCTTTATGAAAATTCTTTAGATTTTTAGCAAACATAAGCGTTCTGGAACCTAAACTTTACTTGATCTAAATTTTTCATTCAATTAGGACTCCTTAGGGTATATGTTGCACCAGAAGGCGGCCTTTTGGGTAATTGGCCCTAAGCTGCCAAAGGACAACATTCAGGTTGGGAAGATGCCATGAAAATGCTCAAATGCGCGTTGCCTGAACCTTAAGATAAATAAAAATGGCAGAAAAGTTGTGAATTCTATTCCTCATTTTCTGTACTCGTGCATGGAACTAAATTGCGGATAACGGGAAAACACCGTAGAGAAAAACCTAATTAAATCTTAGGCCATAATAGGCTGCCACTTCACCCACGTTGAACAAGTCTTGCTGGATGCGAGGGCAGAAGGAGGTGTTTCGACAAGGCTTCTCAAAACTGCATATACTCAATGGGGATGAGAGTTGTGACGATTAGCATATAAGTTTTGCTTGAAATGTGAGTATTGCATTGTAATTGTTCATTGCTATTTTTTTTACTTGCATTCAATTATCACGATGATTTGTTCGAGTTTAAGGATTGCAGGTTTTCTGAAATAAATAGGTATTCATTCTAATGATAACAGTTCCATAAGAACAGGACCCATCTATAAAATCTCTAGTTAGAGAATTTAGAATTTAATAGTTGAGAGCATGAAGCCTAGTTTTAAGGCAGCCAGGAATACCTTAAGGTGAAGAAGCTGTGGCTCAATATCGCCTGGTGGCCTGACAACAAAATAAGGTACGATTCAGCTAAATCTCAGGTGCAACGAGGCTGTTCCGTTAATAGCGTTACCTTAGAAAGGGCATAAATCCCTCCTTAATTGCACTTCTTAGGTGCATCAAAGTGGTAAAAATTCAAGTGCAATGCACCAAAAAAGGTTTATTTTGTTGCCAACTATACCTGACTTTGGTATTTAGTACGCTTTGCAACCATGTTATCCGTACAAGGTGTCCCAGTCGCAAAAGAACTGTAAGGTCTAGGGCGCGCAAGACAAAATTTCCAGACTGGCCTGTCAGGCAAGTTCTTCGATCAAATGATTACCGAGACCACAAAAAAGTCCATTGATCTACTAATCTGATTCTCTGTCACATTATCCAATACGAGCAACAGATTTCAGATACTAATCAAATTACTTCCACCTTTATTCTGCAAAAAGTTATTCCATTTCTCTTACTAATTGTTTTCTGGCAGTTAGAGAAGAGCAGGACCAGGTACTTAGCACTTTGGCGATATTGCAATTTTTTTTCGTTACTTTGGCTCCCTATAGAAGTAAATAGGGCACTTATTTTCAAAAATTTGATTTGAAATGGAAGCTGTGATATCATGAAGTTGCCATGAGTTGTGAAGAATCTAGCTGTATATTTGTTCTAAAAACGCGAAATTCGATTTGTCTTTTATTTTTATGCAAAACTGCCTTTAAATTGGAATCTCGTCAAACAACTGATGCATATGATATTTGAAGAAAATTGAAACACTTTCTTTTTATATTGACTATGAACATTGCAAATATAAGGTTATAAAAAGGATTGCCTTTGATCTTGTGAAAAAAGCTATGAGTTCGTGTTTTTTCTTTCAAATTTCTTTGAAAACTTATATTTATTGCTTGTTCCCACCCTTCATTTAACTTCTTTATTGCGTCCATAACTTCATGATATAAGCGTTGTCTGTTGTGAACCTTCTTTACTGATGTTTTATAAAAAGCTCGGAAATTATGTTAAAAATTTGGCTTTCTTTCCAAATAAGAGGTTGTGTAGATTTAGGTGTACAATATCATAGCCTAGATCTACTAGCACTGTCATGCACTCTGCATAGTCTAGCTGCTGTATGTGCTTTGGTAGCCGTCTACAGCGTGCAGCATCATTTTGCAATAGCATGTTAAAAACAATAATAAAGTTTTGTTCGACGCACCTAGCCATAGCTGAAGTGATGCCACGCATTATCTGAAGCTTTATTTGTTTAAATGACTGAAGTTTTAAATTAAGGCATCGGAATTTCCTCAAAAAAGACGATACAAATGCCTATTCATTTTCACTTCATTTTTCTTGTTACTTTATTTATCTGTCTCTCAATAAAGATAAATTTTCCGATAAACTCTAACAGAAAGAAATCTAGTGCAGCAAGCCTACCCCATCGATTAAGCATTTACCATAAATGAAGTTATCTTAGTTTGAAATTCTTACAAGGCTTCAAGTGGTAAAGTCTTTAGCATGCTCAAGAGGTAGATTTTACAGTAATCAAGTTTTGCATCAAAATAAGAAATACCGAAATACCTCCTTTTGTGGGCACCTCTAAACAACGGGCAAAAATTCTTGTCCTGAAAATTCTTCTCTGCAGTCAAAGCTTTTTACATGTAACCTCGTGACCTTTTCTTCCTTCTAGAATACAGATGAACTCTGTATACGGCTATTTTGCGAGTAAGATCGGTAGAATAGAAAATCTTAGGAGTTTTGCTACACACGTTTGTTAGTGAATTTTCTAAATAATTTTATGCCAAGTACAGGTCTCGTTCAATACTACCTCATAAGGTTAAAAAATTTCAATCTCATATGAAATTGAAAAACAACAAATAAAAAATGATTTTCATGCCGGAATAAAAAAAATGTACATAAATTCTAAGGTTTTGCGCAAGAAGCCAAATTACAATGCACATGGACTTTCAAATTACAATTCTTTAAAAAATTTGCCTTTAAAGATTTAATTAATCAAGTCATAATGCTATTTATTTGTAAAAATCATTTTTCAACAGTATTCAACAGCGGAAAGAAAATGACAACAGTTCACAAATGTGTAAATAATCATTATGTGCCATATGCCATATGCCATAAATTGCAGCAACGATGATAAACGAGCGATTCATTACTTTTAATTGACAGAACTGGTTAAAAATTTGACAGTTATTCTTTCCAAGCACATTGCATCAGTGAATCTTTCAGAAAGGAAATGTGCTTTTAAAAGGTAAAAAGCCGACATATTAGCCAAAGAAACAAATTTTAATACCATTAATATCATGAATGTCTAAGTTAAGTGTCTTGATTGAGATGCTTCAAACTGCAGCGTATCTTATAATGTTTACATTGTTTTAGCAAAGCAAATCGGCATACCGTAAAAACCGGACCCTAAGACCCTGTGACCTAGAACCCTAAAGTACTAAAATAAAAAAGGACCCTTAACACCGGAAGGGTCTTCTCCCCGATAAGACAATAGTCAATCAAAGTTGACTGTCATCATCGCACCATGAGGACACATCAAATGTCAAATTCGTTTTTGCTTCTACGGCGTTCTTCCGCATATTATTCACATCAGCTTCTCCCTTCAAATAAGTCCGTCATGGAGTCATACAGCGACAAGGAAGTTTACGGCAGCCTTTTGGGCTTTTTCTAGTTTTCTTTTCTTTTGTTCCTATTTAGAGAGGTTGCCACAGAACTGTTGATATTTTCCTGCAAACTTTGCACAATTCTTTATATCAAAAAATGTATCCTGAAAACCTCTGCCATTGGATTATAGAAAATAATTATCAAATAATTTATTGAATTTATTTTTATGCGGGGGATTTTTGAAGCTGACCTCTGTTAGTAGATATCAGTTCCAGAATAATTTCAAACTTCTTTTTACACACCCCATGATTTGTCAACAATACCATATTTCAGAATAGGGAGGGCAGAATCCAAAAAAATCACGCAAAGCGACAAGCAGCAACCAAAGAAAGTGCCTGCATCTTCATCTCTGACACAGGCCTTGATCTTGATCTGTCTCTTCTTTATGGTTGACTCCATAAAAAAGGTTAGATGACATTGAAAGATCTTCAAATTCCTTGTGACTTTCTGACTCATTTGAAGGCAGCTGATGTGGATAATATGCGGAAGAACGCCGTAGTTGGCACAAAAGCGCATTTGACAGTTGATATGTCTTCATGGTGCGATGATGACAGTCAACTGCGATCAACTATTGTCTTATCGAGGTGAAGACCCTTCTGGTGTTAAGGGTCCTTTTTGATATTAGTACTTAAGGGTCCTGGGTCTTAGGGTCTTAAGGTCTGGTTTTTACGGTATGCTAAGGAAATCCTGGCCTTCCTTACCAGAAGAGAAAAAGTTCGAATGAGCACGCTTAGTAATATGTTTATGATTGCTTTATCTTATTAAGAATTGCGCGATATTCGATTTGAATTCAATGGGTACCGGCAACTGAAACAAAACCTTGGCAAATTAGCGTTACAATTATACATGCGGTCATATATGCCTTCTATGAAATCTTTTTGTTGGTAACAAAGGCAGTAGAAACATTTGTAACGACGCTACTTTCACAGTTCAAATGGTTTCCGCTCTCCAATGCTTGACCCATGAGTTCTAGAGGTCAAATCATGAGGTCATACAGTCAATCTACTTGAGATGTTGCTTGCATTTTAACATAGTCGTAGGAAACATTTAAAATGTAGGGAGGGGCCCGTGTAGTCATAATAGGGCTACCTCTGCAAGCTGCAAGAAGGTACTTAACCACTTTTTCTGAAATATCAGGGGTGTGTGCCCCCTGAGCCCCCTTGTTCCTACGTCTATGGGCTCAGTACAAACCTCAACATTTGCAATGAAAAGATGCAGATTTGACAGTCATCTGTCGAGATATCGAGATCAAAAGCCATGTCCTATTCATCTTGGGTGTATGAACTTGAAACAAATAAGCAATTGGCCCTAACACAAATTTAAAAAGGTGTTCATGGAACTGCGTCAAAGTCACTTTGATTGTTTTTTTTATATTACATATTTTGTGCCTGATAGTATGACAATATCGGAATAGGAATGAGTTTTTGAGTGAGAATCCTGCTGGGCAATTTAGAGCGGGTTTACCTAACATTTCTATCACAATTTTAGAACGATAATCAAACAAGTATGGCAGGACGTTCTATGGTGTCATTGTTAAAATTAAAGTTCATCATTTGGAGTACAACAAGGCTGTGACCTAACTCTGATACTTTTGACTTATGTTTTACTAAAGAGTATCATTACTGGCTCTAGAAACATTTAAAGGTTGCTTGAGCACAGAGAAAGGCGGGTAATGACGTTAAGTTCGAAACAAGCAATCCGACCTCAATGCTTGTCAAATGTACTTGGACTAACGCTCCTAGAAATAGTTCCCTCCTTTCTCCAAGTTTCAAAATAGCGAGTTACATTTGAATAGTTTATTTCAATGGCGAATAATCCAATATTATTTAAAAGGGAGAAGAAAGAATGCTAATCTGAATGACAAAACTGCCTTTGCTGTTCCAAGACTTCTGGAAGACATCGCAGCTGAAAGAGAAAGAACGTGAAATGAGGAAAAGGTGCAGAAATGTGTAGTTATCTTTGCATGTGAGAATGAAGAAACAAAAGTTTTGTAAAAAATATGGTTCACAATATACGTATGTTTGTTAAATCTGATAAAAAGAAATTCTAGATGGAATTTTCTACTTGGAAAGAACTTGACATTATCCTTCCTACAATCATTGCCAAAATGCTGAGAACAGCCAGGAATTTGCGTTGCAGTTGTATCTTTTATTCCTTTTCCGAAAAAAGTACTTCCGCCCCATCCTCCTAAAACAATGTAAATCTTTCGGGCAAATATCATAAAAGAATCGCAGAAAAGGCACTTCATAATTCCCTTGCCCGTTATATAGTAAAACAACCTTATTCCAGGGGGGAGCGAGGGATTGCTGAATTTGACCCCCTTGCAAACTGACGTCAGTGTTCCAAGACGTTTCGCAGTCATTGTACATTGCCCTTAGATTTGCCGTTGCTTGCAAGTTTACCTTTTAAAACCATTAGCCTCGATTATATGCTTTGCATAACGACTATATACTTCCGTAAACATCAAGTATGTAGATTTAAGAGCAACGCTCTGGCACTCACATATACCTCTAAGTTTCATCAGTCTCACAGATCAGATGCAGCATGAATATACACAGCAAAAACAGCTAGCACCCTCACAACAGTCTTTTCGCAGTTTTTAAGAAAATAAGCAAGTGAAGGGACGTTTGCTCGTACGCATTGTTAAATAAAAAAACGAGAATTGTTAGGTAACAT